TACTCTGCGTCTAAATTGCGTAGACTCTAGCAAGATTTTTGCATACACTGTCTCTCCTTTACTAAACATACATATTTTTCGCAGACAAACTTCGAATCTAAAACGTATTCACTTTCGAACATAAAAGTCTTAAAAAAAAACTAACTAGTGCAAATGCCGAAAAAATAATGTCCGAATCGCTGTGTTCCTACGTATGTATTGGGATCACTAGGCATGTTTTTTGTTGTTATGCAATATGCAGCGAGCCTAAGGTATAACTTTTTATGCAACAATAATATTACTTTTTAGAAAATGATTCTAATTTTATAATTATTAATTTTCAAACCATTAGGTAGTTATTAAATTTTGTCAAATAATATTAACACAATTAGAAGTATTGAACAAAAATAATTTTTTGCTCTGTTGAATTGAGGTGTCCAAAATATCAAAATGGCGACAATTGATTTCAATTGAACTGGACACATTTATTTCAAAAACTTTTTTAAAGTGAGTTAATTAATATTTAAGAATTCAAAATTTTGTTTTTATTGTAAACTTGTAATACTTTTAATTTAAACACATTCATAAATAATTTTAAACTGAAACAGACTTTTGGTAACACAAAATTAATTTAATTCGTCTTCCTTTTGCTGACACTGCGCAACAACTATCAATCAAACCTTTCTATGGTTGCCATTATTGCTCTCAATAATGACATACGTGTTGGTTACAACTACAAACAAAGAACATAAGAGTTTGAAGCAGTACTATTACTGCTAATCAATGATTCCCGCGACATAATCCTAATTCACCACAATTATGTATATTTTGATAAAATTTCATTATTTTTATGCTGTCCCAAATAATTGAATTAAATGTTTTAAATAATTTATTACACTTCACATTTATTTACTCAATTGATAAAAACTTCAGCATTATTCTTTGTTCAACTGGTTTAAACAACTCATATTCCGTAAGTCATCATATTAAAAATAAAATATTTCTTCGTATGGCAATTTCGTATGGTTAATTTCCTGTAACTCACTATTATTCAGAGAATTCCCGAAATACCTTTATTTTTACGAAATAAAATCAGATTTCATTTTTCCGAACTGGAAAATAAAATACCATATCCTCATTTCCAGAGTGATCTCACATTTTTAACTGATATGACAAGGACTAAAACAAATTAAATTTGAAGTTACAAGGTAAAAAGATTTAGAAATAAACTAATATTACTTATATAAAACATCAGTAGAGGAGCACAAGTTTTCATTTTGTCTGTGTTGCAAAAAACATAACACAAAGATAAAAAATTTTATAGGATTCAATTTTTATAATCACCTGAACTACGTTAATTAAATAATTGTTGAAATTAAGCATTGTTTCACAAATTTTAAGGAATCAAAGAGCGAGATATCCTTTTTTTCAAATGCATTAACGATTGCAATTGAAAATATAAAGACTGATGTAAAGACCAGTTGGAAATATGAACCTAAAATCGGACCTCTTTTTCAAGGGCAGAATAGAATCTGGAACTGAATTTTTTAAACTCCTTGGCGACCGTTTTCCAAAACTAAGGAACTTTGGTTTAAAAATGAGTTCAATGATAAACAGTATCTATCTCTGTGAAAATACGTTTGCAACTACGAATTTTATAAAATCAAAATGTAAATCTTTACTGACTGATAATTCACAAATTTACAATGAATAATGTGTATATTGATAGAATTGATAGAACTAAATTTAACATTATCGTCATATTTTTATTTTTCGCAAAGAAATAATAAACGTATGTATTTGTTTCTACAGCCCTCCAATCTATGCAGTGCAGTACTTTGCTCGTTATCGTATTTGGTCTGAACAGCGCTGATCTAAATCATGCTTATATTTATATCTTGTTGTACAAAAGTACTGTAATAAAGCAGTATTATGGACGTGTGCGAGTTAGGCTAATTTGATGCTAAACCAAATGGGGGATTTTTTGGGATTTTTTGCACTGCAAACTTGCACTGCACACTGCACATTTATCAACACGTATCGACACATCACTACATAATCGGCACAACTTAGAATTTTCCTCATTTAGAACGGAACTTAGCCTAACTCGCACACGTCCTATATACCATAATGCTACTATGCATATTCATACTGACTATTAAAAATACTGCATTGCTTTAATAGCAAATGTATATTGAAATCTATAGTATACCAGGTATAGAATGATTTGTGTATGATTCATATCCTTTCAATTTTTTTGCCTGTGTCGTGCTTCTATGGAACATCTATACTTTGTTATTATTATTTAATTATTGTCACGAATATTGATAATTATTCGTTTAGTTCTGTGAACCATATGGTTTTAACTACAAAGCTTTTATGTATTGTTAAGTCAGTTGTCATAAATTCGTACTCATAATTTCACAAAATAGAAATCGATATCATTCTAAAAGCTACAGTAAAAATCTTTATTATGCACATAACACATCTTTTGTTAAATTTAGGAAAGCATTTGCTCTTATGTAAAATAACTAAGGTAACTTTAGTTGGTTGGTAGTTACTCTCTGCATTTTGAATTGTTTAATGCTTGAAATAGCATTTATCAAGGATTAAATCAAGATTTATAAGGAGTCTCAACTTAAATACGGTTGTATTTTCCAAAAAACTTATACCGTGTTTGTCCACTTCACTATCTCTACAACTTCTCACTGCATCAATGTGATCCAGAACATCAATAAGATTTGTGTTGTTTTCATCACTTATCTCAATGAGGGATAAGCATCGGTATAGCAAACAAATAATATTTAAATTTGAAACATTAATGTGAAACAAATTATTTAGATATAGTACCAAATATTGAGATTTTCTATAAATATTACAAGTAATATGATTATATATGGTTATTGCGCTATATAGGATATTACCGTCAATTGTAAAAATATATTTTGTATATAATCAAGCATTTAGTCATTTCAAAACGTAACATTGATTCAACTAAAATAAAATTTACAAAATTTAAATATATACTATAATATATAAAAAGGTTTTCATTTTTTTTTATTTTGTTCTTTATGAAATAAATTAATTTTTAAATCAAATAATTTAAGCAAACCATACAAAACTATGAGTACTAAACTTATATACAAACTTATAAATGACTATAACTATCAAACAAATCTGCAACTATTACTTTACCAACCCTATAAATATCTTAATAAAAATCTAAAAGGCCATTTACCATGTTTACAACTTGTTTTGTCCATTGTCATAAACTTTACAATCTCAATATAGAGCATGAATAATTTGCTTCCAGCTGCAAAACAAGTGTAGCAAAATGTTGATTTGGATATGTACTCGTATCTACAGCAAATAAAGAAAAATTATAGAGATTTTGCCGATAGCAATTTAATAAGAATAATAAATTTATTTAAACCTTAACATGATCGCGATTGAAAGGAACATTTCAGTAAATCGTTTGATAAACACAATTATTACACTCAGAAATATTTCAAGGGCAATTTTAGCAGAATATAATAACTATTTATTAAAACTAATATATAAATGCAATTATAGGTATATTAATTTGAGTTGTTTTGAGTCCCCTTATTGGTTACTACCTATATTTTGTACTGAGAGGAAAGCTCTTAATCTAGTCCGTGATTATAAACGTCTTAACGAAAATCATTTTATATATCTATCGAAGTGCCGAATATTTTCTAGAGTTAAAGTTAGTGGGAAAATTATGTGCCCAAAAATAAAAAACATGTTGGTTTGTAGAACTGTCATATTAAACTATATGTTTTGCGCTTCTATGTCATTATTTTTACGTCAAAAAAATTAGTAGTCATGTAGCATAAGCCATCAGGATAAGCGATTTGTGTTACACCTTGCTCATTTTTAAAAACGTACGAGTCTGCCACTAAATACCACACCACAAAGCTATTTTTTGTTGATGCTATGGTTTTTAAAGAGTTATCTGTGTAATTACATTGACTCAGATGCGACAATTTTGTCTCCTAACATATTTACTAAACATAAAGTGAGCCTTATCACTCAAAAAAATTCTTCAGTAATACACGTACAAAAATTCTACGAATGTCACTCAAACACCAAATAAATAACATAGGTAAACATCTCTAAAATAGATATGAGCTGCATATCTATTTGGGAAGTTGGTAAACGAAGTAGGACCTCTAGCACTCAATAGTTTCACAAAAAGAGTTGTCATTCTACATGACGCCTATTACATTTCCAAAAAGATATCTAACTGCATTTGATATCGCGGAGAACTGAAAAGGTCTATATGTGACCTAAGCTAGTGTTTAAATATGACAAAAATGGACTTAACGTCATAAATTCTATATATATTGTAGGTAAAAATAATATGCAGCAAGTAAATGGTAACAATTTATATGTAACAACTATTCACCAAAGTAGAATATTATATATTATTTTATAAAAAATGTCTTTTACAAAAATATTTGACCATTTTATTTTTATTGCAACAAACATATACTTACATCCTACTATTAAGTATTTACTATTATATATTTATAGAAAATCTTTTTATTTCTGAGTTTTCCAAGGTTTTATTTTTTTATTTGCTACTTGTGCCTCATTAGATACTCCTCGACAAAATACCATATATTCAGACGTTCAGACGCAAAAAGGCATTTAGTTAGTTATGGATTGATCCCCAGTACAAAAGAGCTAATAAAGTTGCAAAGCTTTTGATCTTTAGAAACACTAGTTCTTTTTAATAATTCATCTTAGATAATGATAATGTACCTCATAAAATAAATTTTTTATGTTTGTTGTTATTAATTGAATTTATCATAAGCAAATTAAAATTAACATGAAATATACTAAAACCGGTGGCCGCTGTTTTCATATAACTTTTCCTTAATACACGGACTTATTAACATTTACTCTACTTTTAAATTAATTACTAAATCAATAAATTAATTTATTTAATTTATGTATTTTTCTTTTTATTCTTTCATTCACATGCGCATTCACAGGAAGATTTGCTCATTCATGGCGATTCTGTTTACGATATCATTGACAAACAGGATCATGCAGCAATACAAGCCGAACTTAATCGCAACGTACCACCGCAACCGGGACAGCACACAAGTTCCTCCTCATCATCGGCTACATCAGCTGCAGCGGCGGCAGCAGCGGCCGCAATGACAAGCCTCGAGGGTGAACATCGCATGTTCCTGTGTCGCATGAATGTCAGCCGTAATGCGCGTAGACAAATGCGATTTGGAGATCAAAAGGTAAGTGAATAAGTGCATAAGTGCGAGTGTTAAACTGTCAGTGTTTAAGCAAGAAAAAAATATAAACAAAACAAAATTGATGGATGAATCACACCAAACATCAGCAAGCAATAAGCAGAACGTTGCGTGTGTTGCAACAAGAACCTACAGCAACAACAACAATAATAACAGCAAAATGTATGAATTATGCATGAAGCATTTAAGTTGAAATTCACTTGAGAAAATGTTGCCAGTGATTTATAAACTGACAAACGATGACAGTTGTTTGCATTGTTGGACGCCTTGTGTGTTTGTTTGACTGGAATTGGCCACATGCTGTTGGCGATGTTTACAGTGCACATTTTATGATTTCCTTCTTTGAAGAAATGTCAAAAATTCGATGGCGCGATAGTGTCACACTTTAATAAAGTTGTTCTCGGTCTGTCATGGCAGTAGTTGGAACTACAATGGTTAATGACACTCTTTTACATGGTTGATAAAATGTGGGAGGCCAATCATTTGATGAAAAGAAATCCAATTTACAGATTAAATATATACCATACTCTCAGTATAACCAAGCATAATGTCAACACCTTTAGTTATTTCAAGAAAACAGATTTGTTATGTTTCTAGCTTTCAAATATAGGGCTTTTGGGTACTCATTAATACAAAAATCTACTGTATGTAGCATAGATTTTAGGATATTGTTGTTGTGCCTGTAGGTCGTGAATTAGACAGTCCTGCTCTAGTGGATCCAAAAGACTAAAAAAAATTACTTATCGAACGTAATGATCTTTTTTATTATATTCCTTTTTATTCTTTTTGGTCCTTTCCCATAACCGAAGCATCGTCATGGAGTGTACCAAGGGTAAATTACAATAAAAGAAATCATACGACAATAATTTTATTTAATACTTCCAGTTGCATTACGCCCGAATTACACACCAATAGAATCAGAACAATTGCAGATTGTACTATACTTTTTTTAGTCGAAAATAGTAAAAATTACCCACTAAAAAATATAACAATTAACTACGTAAGTGCAATAAAACCAACTGGCAATCTTATTGCGAACTTCTGAAATTTCTAGACTGCGTAAATTCGTGTTTCAGAACCTATCTATCCTTGAGTTACTTTAAATTAAGTCATTAACTTAACCGTTAGAATCTTTTATGGGTAAACACAATCAAATTAAACCTATGAAAATGTTGAAACAAGCAAAACGTAGTAAAGAATGTTTTGTTATTTTTGCAATAAAAGAAAAATTTTTATACAGTATCGTTTTTTATAAAAAGTCAAAATTGAATTCAATAGTGGAGCTATTTGATTTACTGTAAAAATTAAATATATATAATAAATATATATACATTATATATGAAATATGAAGAAATTAAATATATATTCATATATAACATACACAAAATACCTAGTATCATATAATATCATGATATATATATAATAATGATAATATATAATATGAATCCTATATTCTGTAACAACTATAAGGTAAAGCATGAAAAATTAATTCAAATAAAAGACTTAAGCAACATACTTAACGATGGATTTGATTAAGATGAACAAAATCTTATATTTGTAAATGAACTACACAATAACAATTGTTAAATAAAATAAATTTAGTTAAATTTTTAATGAACAAAATTTAGAATTAAAAAGTATATCTTTTAACTTTGAGATTAAAGTAATGGTCTTCCAACAAACTCCAAATAAATTTAAATTAAGTTAAAAAAAATCTTTTCACACTTGAATTCAAATACATAATACTTAAAAGTAATGGTTCTTTAATGTATATTATAAATGATATTAATATATTGTTTAAATATAATATTTTGAGAAATATATGTATATATTAGGCACAAACAAATATTTCAATGTTATTTATACACTTAACTTTTACATAAACATATTTATATATTTTATATTATATTTCAAATTTTAATTAATATCATACATCATATAATTTTAATTTATATCACACATATAATTTTCCTTGTGTTTCTATATCAAACACAAATTCGTACAAAAAATAACAATTTTTAATCGCTATTAAAAATGGAATTATTTGTGTGATGCAGCTTCATTTGTATTTGGTGCTCTCTCATCTACATTTTCTCACGGAGTCTCTGAATAATTTCACTGCGCATAATAATCGCAAATCCGGATACTCAAAGACTCCGGGGATTAACAAAAAATCTTTTTTTTTAACTCCAAAGACTTCGTTGCTACCCGGTTAATCGAATTATCGAATAACTTTAGTTTTTAAAATACCCGAATAATATGAACAGAATTACTACAGTATTTATTACAGAAAAAAGTGTAGTTTTATAAATAATATTTAAAATAATTTTTTAATATTTTTATTACAAATTAAAATATAATTGTTTTAATTAAAACCAATTCAAAAATTTTATATCACAATACTTGGAACTTTATACATTGAAAATATTTCGGGATAATGCTGTAACCCCAGATTTAACAAAATAGCTTTTAATAAAATGGATAATATAGTTTTTGATACGTTTTTGATAGTTTTTGAAAACGATATTAGAGATTTTTAATAATGTGTAACTACTTTATAAACATATACAGTACACATGGAGTAACCAAAGTAACTCAGTAAAATAAAAGTCAAGGAAAATGCTAAAAAAGGGATAAATTTTAGTACAGAACACAACTCATTGATGTATAATGACCGACATATTTAAATTATAATACATAATAATAAAAAATTATATGTTAATTTTAGTAGATTTTGTAATGGATATGTGTCTAGCTAGATTTTGTTACCATTACTAAATAAATATAATGAAAATCAAAGTAAATTTATATAAATTATTATCAAATTTTTTTTTTGCTAATACCCCAAGTAAAGAAACACTATTCTAAGAAGAACATTTTTTCTATAACCAATTACTTTTGACCATTATTTGGAAGAAGTTAGCCTGCTTTACTCGATTGCCGCTCATGAACAAACAAAAATAGGCTGACAATAATAAAGTTTCTACTGTTATACAAAACGAAAGTAAAATAAAATAAACTATGTATATGGATTAAAATAAATTAAAATAAATAAAATATTTTGTCATTTTATTTATTTTAATTTATCAGTAAAAAACAATCAAAATCCTTAAAGCAAATAGGTCATACAATAAAAATGTCACGCTGAAAATGAAATTTTTTATTTAATAATTTATAAAATTAAAGACTAATATGAGGCAACACAATATACAATAACAAACAATATTAATTACTTATCAGTATATTAAATGTTCTGTTAAAATGAATTTTTAACAAATTAATAAGCTCATATATATTAAAACAAAGTAAAGTCTACCAGAATCAATACAAAACCGAAAAATTTGATTAATTTTTTGAAGAATTTATTAATGAACTTGGACACAAGAATTAAGCTATACATAAAGATTGACTATATATAATAAAAATAAAGCAAGCTTTACAGTGAAATCTTTCCTAACAGATACTCCTCTCAAATGAATAATTTTTCAAAAATCAAATTGAAGAAAAACATATAGACAACAAAATACAAGCTAACTGTACTAAAACCGCAGAATATACATAAGAAAAAATGTATGTAAGAAACTTCTACATGATAATTTTCAATGTTAAAATAAAATTAAAGTCAATAGAATAAAAAAGTGTAAAATCTGAAATAAAATAAGATGTATATGTACATATATATCATTGCATATAATTGTTATACTGCATGTTATAAACACTAGCACAATGTTAACTCCGCCGATTAGAGTGGCGATTTCCTTTAAGGTCAGATATTATCAAGATTTATAAATGAAAAATTTTTTTATTAAAAAGCGGCAACCACAAGTATTTTACATTTTTTGTGCCCAAACAGTTTTGTCACCAACATTTTCACCCAATTATTTTGACACCCACCTCAATTTTTTACAAGTGTACGAAGGCGTACTGCAATCTTTGATGTGTGTCTGCTTCTATTTAGATCGTGTGTAGATCGTGTGCATATGTGCAGGCTTTAAGATGAATGAAAATAGATTTGTCTTATAAAGTTTATTTTTTTTATATTTTTTCTTAATAATATATCATTATTTTTATGCACTTCTGTGGCTTGCTGCTGTGTTATTTGCTGAATGGTTAACGCATTTAAAGTGGCATTTCGCGAACGCCGTGTGGAGTGTTAATTGAAACAACACACAAACGTGAAAATGTTTTATGGCTGCAATTGTGCATTGAAAGTGTTTCAGTCACAACTGCTTAGAGCAAAAATGGTGAACATAAATGGCATTTGAACCAAATTATATCGTTAGTCATAGGAACCTGCTGCACCGTACGCAATTCCAAGTCAATTCAAAATTGTATATGTAGAATAAATTAAACCAGCGCTGTGCATACTAAGCAATAATGCACTCCTACTCTCACAAAAAATAGAGCTCAAAGTAGCAAGAACATGACTGACCCTAAACCTTTTTATAAACATTATACATACATACGTACTCATAAGTAAATGTGTACAAAATACCAACATGTAGCACTCCACTTCTGGAGCATTTAGGTCACCTTAATGCACTGTGCCTGAAATAAATATGGATGAGTATCTTTACTCCAAAAACAAAAAAAAAAATAATGAAAAAAGTAAAATTTTGGAATTTCGTATAAGCCACAATACAAATGGCGCCAAACTCTAGACTTAAATATTTTGTATTTATAAGTGTAGAAGCAATCCATGGCAGTCGCATGGCATTTGCATTTAAAATATGTGTAAGTGTATCTTTTTTAGACATTTTTGGTGCTTTACTGGTAAGTGGCATACGATGCCCACATTGGGCAGTCTACACAATTACACTCCTCCATAAGTACGTAGTTTATTTTTTTTACTGTATGCTCCCTTGTATACTAACATACGAACACACACATACAAATCTTAATTGGATAATGGACAATTATTTTTTGCATTTCGTGAGGCCGCACAGCCAGTTTTGTGGGTCGCCTAAGGGTTTTGTTTGAATGCGCCCAAAGCCCTTTTAGAGTTTGTGAGATCTTAATAAGCAACAAAAGCATGAAAGATTGTTACATATTTTTGAGAAATTGAATAGCCCAAAATGGTATTTTAAAACTGCAAGTAAAGATCTCACATTATGTATCTCAATGCGCGTTTTTTAATGCAAATATTTTGCAAATGTTCGTATAGACAAAATCGATTTTAATGTGGGAAAATACCTTTGCATATTTGTCAGAGTTAACAAATATTTTTATTTATTAACAAGTTTTCGTTTGCAAACCTTAAGTGTGCATTGTTGAATTAATATACTTTAACCAAATGCATAGAGTATTATAAGATATTTCTGAAAGTGCGCTCATAATTTAAAGTCAAATTGTGTAATTGCACGCATAAATTTAAAACAATTGTATATATTATGACTAAAATAATTTATTAATCATTTAATGGAATTTTGAAATTATATCACTTAAATAATATTGCTAGCATCAATGAGGCTGCAACCAGCAATTAATTTGACTCACTTCGGTATTGCTATATATATATACATAAATATATATATTTATTACCATATATGTATGTATACATGCTATTAATTATTTCATTAGTAAAAATAATTATTATTTCACTGATTTATAAGACATTAAAATCATATTAAACCACAACTACTCACAAGTCAGTATTGTAATTGTTTCAAATGATTCAAAGAAGATGTCATTCTGTAAAAATAAAAAAATAATAATAATTGCAAAATATTGAATAACTATTATTATTACAATTTTATGTTCCGTGCTTTGCTAAAGATTTTTAAAATACTGAGATTTTGGTCCTGATTTAGACGATATATATTACAAAGTGAATTTTTGTGTTGTTTCAATTTTTTTTCTGCATTTTATGGTCCATAAAATTGGTTGCATCAATGTCAATACTAGGTTTATTGATTATTAGAAGATTTAGTTATTTTTCTTATGCAGAAAATAGTATCTTATCTGTCTGCATGTCTACAATTTAAATATCTGAGTTTGACTTACTCCAATATGCACTTATATAAATTTATAAAATGATAAGTCCTTAGAGCATAATGTTGATCTATTCTCACTCCTTAACGTCCAAGGCGTATTTATGTAGCAAAAAAAAATAAACAATTTGTGTTATCATTTAGTATTGATAAGCTAATTTTAAGAGATATTGTTCAAGATTCCAAACAGTTTCAAAATAATTAAATTTTCTTTACATTATATTTTTTAAAAATAATTATTATTCTGAGCCTTTTTCTTTTTAACGCACAAAGAACTCTTACATTCTGTTTTTTATTTTATTTATTTTAGTATTTTATTTTACGCTTTTTATTTTTATTTATTTTAACATATGTTATAAGTAATTAAAAAAATTTATTCATTAATTGATAAATTGATACTCATCTATCAAAGACATATGCAGGAACTCATTTAAGAAAGGATTTTTAAACTTTTTTTGAGATATATACAAAAATTTAATTGAAAACAATGAATAATATCTAGTATAATGTGATTCAAAATCTTATATGCACCATTGATATTTATAATTGTGTAAATAAATTTGTACTTTATTTAATTTATGTTGTAGTTTTTTTTATGGATAAATAATGCCCCTTCACAAAGCTTAACATGATTCTTAAAATTTAGCATTTAGATATATTTAGGAAAACAATATTTAGAACGTGAAAAATATATTCGAATAATATTTGTTTCGAATGTTTGTAAATAAACCAACTTTAAATAAACGTTCCCGCACATTAATATTTTATATATATTTTCTTTAACTTTCTCAAAAGGAATCATAATTTAAAATAAGTATTGATTTTATTTGGAGGTATTGATTCTGAAATAACCTCCACTGACTTAAAAGTACAACATCAATTGCTGCAAAACAGACGCATGTCATATTCTGCCTTAACCTAGGTATTTTTTGTATTGTATTTGGGCCACCTTCTTCAAAGCATTCTATGTGTATAGTCAGCTTAGCCGAAATCAAAGCATGTCTACATCTGGTATAATTGATTTTAAAAAGAGTCTTGGGCCACTTCTAGGTAACTCATTACGCCTATAGTTACCAACTGAACCTTTAACCCTGCGATAAACCTACATAAACTTAGAAATTAAAAAAATACTAGCTGAGGACATAATGACTGTCCCAAATATGTAAATATTCATACCAAATATTTCACAGCGATGAAATAATTTCCTTGCGAGATGAATAGTAGCAACTTCTAACTCAAGCATAATAAAATAATCAACCAGTCGGAAAAATAATTTTTTTATAGCTTCTCTAAGAATACATATCTGTTTTGATTTTAGGCACATCTCTGTAAACCTTAAAACACCTATACGGAAGTGCATAGCTCTACATCTAGTGTGCTCTGGTAGGGATGGGAAAAGATAAATTGTTATAAAACAAATATTTATTTATTTCAATATTTATAATAATATTTATCAAAATATTTGGTTTTCATTTGAAAACTAATATTTGAAAGGATTCATCACTAATTAGAATCATTTTCATAAATAAGCACAATTGTCATGTTTGTAAATAAAAAACTCAGCATAAAATACGTTTACATCAAAATTTAAGGATTTGATGTGGTTTATAGTCTGAAAATATAATTGGATGTATTTTCTTGATTCAGTTATTCTTATGACTTATGATTTGATTAGATGGCATATTGTCTCGACGAAAAGTGCAATCTGAATTACATCTCTATCAATTTATTGAGAAAAAAAAATATAAGAAACTCTTAATTGATCACCTGTTATTATAAGCCTGATATTAAGTAAATTTTTTGAAATATATATAATCTATACAAAAAATTGTTAACTCGCATGTAGAAGAAAAAATGCGTTTCAAAAAACTAAAACAATAAACTAACAAACACTCAAAGCAGTTCCACGACTTTTAAATTTTTGAAACTGATATTAAAATTTTTTGCAAAAAACAACAATCCATATTCCTTTTTTTATTTCATTGATGTTTTTTTCGTATTGATATGACATGGGTTTATCGCAGCAGAACTAAATCCATAACTCAGCACGTTCACTTGAGCGGTGGGTAGCGAACATGACTATGCCCATGAATATGTTTATTAGCAATTGGAACAAACATTTAACAGTTTTATGTGTAACAAATTTTCTTACTAATAGTTCTTTTTTGTGTTTCTTCAAGTTTCCTTTCCATTATTATATCAGTTTTTTAATATTTTTATTTTAATATTGTATTACGTTATTTTTATTTCAGGTTGTGCTAGTTCAGGGTCATTACTTGTCATTTTTACCGCTTTGTAGCCGGAATGAGCCCGTATTTTTGGCCACATGCACGCCCATTGCAATGCCGGAGACACGCGAATGTGTGGTTCAGGGCGCAACAAACGTTTTTACTACAATTCATTCAATGGATATGAAAATAGCGCATATTGACAAAAAGTAAGTCGAATTAAATTTATTTTTAAATAAATATAATTGAAAATATAATTTCGATCTAAAAGTGCATATAATTTAATTTTTTCCTTCAATTGTTTGATTTCAGCGGTGAATTTCATTTAAATTACAGCAGAAATGAGATACAAGGTTTGTCGTGGTACAATCTAATACACTCGGATAATTTGCGTGAAGCGCAGAGTAAACATAGGTTGAGTAAGTATCACAATTTTTTAAAACACTACCTATGTATCCTTAACAAAAAAGATTTCAAAAAAACTTTTTAAATATGTTTGTTATTGGATAAATGAATAAATGTGTAAATAAATTATATTTATTTTAAATTTTATTTTTAGTAACCCAATCAGAACAGGATCGTTCTTGCATTTTATTAGTGCGTATGCAAAGACGTCATGGTGATTTTATTTGGGTGCACGTTGTACTACAAGTGCGAGATAGTCAGGATACTAATCAACAACCAGTAATAGTTTGCACAAACCAAGTGTTGAAGTAAGTCCAATTTTACAGAATAGGAAATTAAAAAAATTAAGAGAAAAAAAATTTTAAATTAACTTCAATAACTTCAATTAACTTCAGGACTGTAACAGTGATATCTTTCCCACACTTTAAAAATGCGCCCTTTTAACTTAAAAAACTACTTCAAATATATTTTCCTTCGGCAATATTCTCGCACCAAAAAGCAAATTATTAAAGATTTCACTTTATACACATAAAATAGAAAAATCACGTTCTCACTTACTTACTTTCCAAACACACAATTTAAACTACCCACACAAACTCTATGTTAGAGTGAGTTATACTAATCTAATTATTATTTTCTTCTCTTAAGCAATTTGATTTATTTTCCTATAGTTTTGCTTTACATATTAATTTTTTTTTTTTTCATTGTATTTTGTATTTATTCTCACTTTAATACTATAGTGAACGTGAGGCAAGCGTCATGATTGCAAACTCATGGCTGTATCACTATTACTCAGTGCAATCAAAAATCCACTTCGGCTTACCTTATGAAGGTACAACACGTGTACCTCCTACAACACCAGCTGTAGCAGCGGCAGCCGCAGCAGCAGTTTATTATCACCACAGCGCACATCACACGCATCATCATCACCATCACTCAACTAATCCACTTCCGGCAACTGCAACGCCAAATAGTGTAGCGGGTGTCTATCCAGCTATGCATCACACTCATCATCATCATCATCCACACCAACAATACCATCATATGGCACCATATGTACCATATCATACATCTGCCATTGCGGGCAGCAGTAATGGAACTGCATCACCTGCGCACTTAGTGGGGCAACAGCACTGCAATGGCATAAATTCTACAAGTAATGGACTGACAAATGGCTCAAATGGACATCAAGCTCCTAGCAGTCAATATATATATCAGCATAGACTTGGTCCAGAACCTGTTGACTATAGTCAAGTAAGCAGTGGTAGCATAAATTCACCGCCTGGTAATGCACTTAGTGTAAATGACATGCGTTGTAGTAGTACAAATAGTTCGGTTTCCAGTCATAACACACCAACGCCTACTTATGCACCGCATATTGCGACCAATAATCAAAGTCAAAATGGTCAAACACATCAACGTATAAGTTCACCGCCTGTGAAAAAACGTGCTATAGGTAAACTAGAACCTTTGTATTTACCTGATGACTCGCCAGATGATTCTACAAGAACAATAAATACTGAATTAGAGAGACCTTATTTACAACAGATTCATACGGGTGGTGCTGAAACGCATGCCTCTGTTGTTTTCGCTACAGTAGTACCAACAAGACCGAGGTTACTAAATAAATCTCTACCAAACGATCCACCTGACTTTATAGACCAATGGAATCCAAGTCCACCTTGGTCAGAAAATGCACAGAAACTTTCACTTGATAGTTCCTCATCTTCCCAACAAGAACTTAGTCCTTGCATTACAACGACACCGCCTACACCAACAAGTGCACCTAGTAACAACATACAAACAATTGGTCCAGCATTTTCATTTGAGTGGGTTACTGATCAATTGGTGCCAATTGTTGATCCATGTTTACCGCATACACATTGGACAACAGCTTCTTTACCGACAACTGATGCACACCACCACTTAACGCAGCATTTAGCTTCTCATAGTCATCGGCTGCTTAATTTAACGAATTCCCTGAATAGTAATCATGAAACCGAAAGTACTGGAACTAGTTCTGCTACCGCAAAAAAAGAGATCGTTGATAAAGGAGATAAAAAAGGTATAATTAAAATTGTTTGCTGAAATTCTTTTCTAATTCTCAATTTATTTAATAAAAATTTGAAGAATTTTTTAACATTAAACACTACATTGTAATATTAATTATAATTGGGAAATTGGTTGTACCCTATTTCTTTCTATTATTGAATTATCCACATGGTTTTTTATTTTATAGACATTAAAGCTGTTGATACATAGGTTTTCTATAAATGTTTACAAAACTAACCTCAGTATTATATTATATTTTTCTTCTTTTTTTTTAACTTCTAGAAGTTTGTGTTCTCTTTACTGTATAACGTAGTTATCGAGACAAAAATAATAACAAGATGATGAGAAAAGGGTGCGAAGGGGTGGGAAGAGAATGAGAAGAGGAAAACACGAGAAAGAAAGAGAAGACAAGAAAGGGAAAACAACAAGAGAAGTACAAGATAGTAACAAAAGAGGTATAAAAAAAACAACAGAAAGATAAGGCAGGTACATGAGAGAATCAAAAGGATAAAAAAAAAAATAAGAAGAAAATTAGAAAAAAACAAAGAAAGGGAAAAAGAGAGAGAGAAACGAGTGAGACAAGATAGAGATAAAAAAGAGTCAAGAGAGAAACAAGAGAAAATGACATTGCAAAATTCCCCTCACAGCTTTTCACCTTTTTCTAGTCTCGTGTTTAAATACGTTTTCTGTGTACAATATGCAATAAATTTAAATATATTTTTAAAAGTATGAAGTCATTATTTATCTCCACAGCATCATATTTTATCTTATTTCCTTTCGACAAGGTTCTTTTCACTCATATATAATTGTGTTCACTGACATTTCTATGGTCCTATAAGTTAAATAAAACTAATTCACCAGTGATACATTTTTTATTTAGTAATAGTGTTTAGAATAGCATATCTTTCACTTAATACTTTTTGCATAATGCATTTATACATTAAATTGGTAACTCTTTCGCTTTCGTAACTTTACAAGTCGATACAAAATTGATCCTTATCTAGCAACTCGCCCTCTGCAACCGGAATCTCTATTGTTTCAGAAATAATTTAAATTTAATTTCATCCTAAGTGACAGTATCCTTGCCCAGAGTATTGATAGTTCTTATACCGACATTAATCCCAAGTTATTGTATTCGTTATTCGGTTTATTGTTATTCTGTGATATTATTATTCTGTGTATTGTTGTTTTTGTATCTCTATGGCCAACAATAGCCTTTTCATCAACGTCCTAGTTGAAACTTTTTCCAATTTGTTTTCATATGTACAAATATCTCTCCTTCTAATATCTTTTATCTCGACTACTGTTTGGTGAAGCATTTCTAAGTGTTCATTTATCGATTATTAATTTCATATACTGAAGAAAATTAAATGTAATAACAACAAATTAAAAAAGAGAAAGCAATAACAGTATTCTAATTCTAATATTTTAAGGCACGGTTTCTTCCTTCTTTCTTTTATTAGTTCTTTCTTTATTTCAAATTCTCACCTAATTAATTCACACCTAAAATTACAGACTCCCCACGGCGTTAGCAAGGTCATTGGACGACAACAAGTTTGTTTATATCAAACCATCTCACCAACTTTGGAAGAATTTTTACGTAGTCATGATAGACCATTGCAAAAATAGAGCTAGAGATCACGCGCCTATCACGCTCCCAGACCCCGAACTATGTTAACTATTTAGCATTAATAATTTTTCGTTGTGTATTAATTAAAATCTTAAAGAATACATAAATAATTTTTATTATTATTATAAACAAATGGAAACTTATGGAATTTCTTGAAGCAATTTTTATCAAAATAGTTATAAAATATTTTATGAAAGCCATAAAAATATTTATTATTTTTTATCTAAGCACGTAAATTAGTTTTTAACGAATATTAGTGCAATTTTATAATTAAAGAAAATTAATTTTCTGATAAGCTAAAGAAAAATATTTATACAATGTTGAAGTATTTTTTTTACAAATTTATATATATGTATTGTATGTAATGTAATATGTTAAAATAGATTTATGTATAAGGAGGTAAATATTAATTTAAAATATATTTATTTTATATAGCAGGTAATTGATTTATTTATTGTAAATGAAACTGTATATATGTAAATTAAAATTAAAGTACTGTATGTAAAATTTTACGCAGAATATATCAAATACAAATTAAAATAAACAAATTATATATTAAAATATTTGTTTTTTTTTAATCAAGTTCTATAATATTAGATAATAATAATAATAGAGTATGCAAACACATATATGTGTATATGTACATATACATATATTACAAAGGTTTATAAGTTAATAATTAGCAAAGGTGTAAGTGAAATTTAAAATATTAATGATATGTTTCAAACCAATCAAAAAATTTTATTTTTAATCTTTAATTTTTTAGTGATTTATAAATTAAATTAATTTTAAAATTAAGTGATTTCATGAATGAATTCTAAGTCCGATCGTTTCTAAAAAAAAAACACTTCAAGGTATAGTGGATTAAAGATATGTTCACATATGTACGCCACATGATCCCTCTTCAATAATAAATTTGGCGATCATATTCAGATATCCTGTAGAAACACTATTCGTCTGGTGGAATTGTTGGCGATTAACTATTGGTTAGCAATCATACAAAGAGACAAAATACTTTCTTCGAAAGAAAATAATGATAAAGAAAATATGTGTAACATAGAGAATACATGTTATATGACTTATTTGGTGAAGAATCTGACCAAAGTTAAGGAAAAACACTCTTAATAACTCCATGAAAAGATAACCAAACTTAAGAAGACTTGATGAATAGTTAAAGAATTACAAGTTTCCTAAAACATTAAAAATTACAAAAGTGAGTTATCTTGCCCTTGCTTTACCTTACCCTTGTACGTTTGTTTGAACAATGGCAATAGAACAAACAGCTATTAAATAGTTAAAAAATAAATATAGGTCAGTTTAGCAAGTTTTGTGCTTTCGAGTATAGTAAAATTGTGCGCCGGATGAGAGAGTAAAATCGTTATGGTTACAATAATATGAGACCATAATGTACCTATTTTCATTCAATAGGTTTTTTCAGAAAATCAAAAAATTTAAATATTTAATAGTTAAAGAATAAATGTCAGAGAGCTTATCCTTAAACATACATTCTTAATTACTTAACTGCTGCTCTTTTGACATAGCAGTCTTTTTATCTGACATTTCTTTCTTGTTGAAAGTTGAAAAAATATATAAAGTATATAAACATTCGATTATTGAGCCCATTAACCGTGTATATAGTAGAAACGTTGCAAAAAAACGTTTTAACCCATATCTGTTTCTACTTAAAAATGCAGTTTAGAATGGAAGCAAAATATCTTATAAGAAGTATATATTTTACTGGATCATTTTATACTACTATCTCTAGGTGTAAGACTTCACAATTTTATTATTTAAATAATACCAAAGTTAAAAACAATAAAATAAAAATACATAACTTTTTGCTCAAAGAATTACGCTGTCACTCTCGACACATAAAAGAATAAAAAATTTTATTTCTAATTACTAAATAATAAAACTATAAAGCTGAAGACTTGTAAACAAAGTACGAAACGCCATGGGTCAAAAGCAATAAAAGTCAATCATATGTACAAATGCGTATCCTACGCACTCCCATCCTGCTGTACACATCCCTAGGAAGCAAAATTAAAATATATCTTACCATTTAGTTTTGTGTAAACACAATAATAAATATTCAAGAAGAGCACCAACAAAGTATAGATCAGCACTCTACATTAAGCATATATGTAAATGTTGTAGCAAAGATACAGAAAGATACAAAAAGATACAGTTAATGTAAAGGAAGTTGATTTGAGTTAATTTGTATTATTTCGCTAGTAAACCAGTTTCAAAGAAACTAAAATTGCATGAAATTCAAATCAACATCCCAGCGAGCATCCTATGGAAACCATTATACCATAGTTGCGTTGAACTCCATAGCAATATAACATACTTTACTTAAATTCGTTAGAAGTCAGCCTATAAAATAATAAGATAATAAAACACCAGTCGATCAGTTGAAGATGTTATTTCTAGAATCAGTAAGACTAGAGGTAATTTAATTGCACTTAAAACAATATGGAACTTCAATCATATATCTAGCACTACTAAACTAGATTTCTTCAACACAAGTAAAAGACACTTGTATTGTATGTATGGTATAGTATTGAAACTTGAAATAGAAATCCAAACAAAAATAGAGACTTTTATAAATCAGTGTCTATGATAATGTTAACGCCTTTGATGGCTCCAGCGAAAATATGAAAATATGTCGATATATGAGCTAAAGCCAATTAAATTAGAGCTAAGAATTAAATGCGATAACACAAATTCTGCTCGATAACACAAAATACTTAAGACCAAATACTGCTTAACTCGCGGAAAAATTTTCCACACCAAGGTGCACCCCTATAACTGAGAACATAACATTTGAACGCGAATTTAGCAGGTATGGAACGTCAAATTTGTTGGGACAAAAATACATTGGTTAAAAAATAAAAATACGGATCTGTAATAAAATAATCACATAATAATATATGTTTAAAAAGCACGAAATCAATTATAAAAGGAATCCGACAATTTATTGCAATTCACTAAAATAATTTATTAAACAAAAGAAGATTATTTTAAAGCACTTACTTAAGGACTAACAGTTACATCCTTAACACACTCATTTGCTGACCAAAATTACCTTTTTGTAATCAATACACAAAGTGCAAACACAAATACTCCGATCAATACTCTAAACAATTGATCGGAAAATAATAAATATTGCATATTTAAATGTTCATATTTCTATTGAATATGTAGGGTGTACACCTACAATTTTCTAGCTGTCGAGGAATGTTAGTTAAGCATTCAAACATAACTTTTATACAATATTTTTATGGCATTTTTTCCTGTAGCCATTTTATGCACCCATAATATTACGTAGCATATAACAAATGCAGTTTTTATTGCTGTTTTTTGTTGAAGTATCTACGAGTACTAACGCCGTAATTTGTTGTTGGTTATGTTGTTTTAGTGTCTTTTCTCTTTCAATAAGTGTTTGTAATAATTTTTTAATAATTTCCACAGGTCACATAAACTGCAAACAAGCCAAACAAGCTAGCTAAAAACAAAAAAACACTCTTTAAAAATAAATTTATCTTAAGCTAAGTAAGTATCTTAAGTAGGGTGTTTTTTCTTTACGCGGATAAGATATAGCCTCTAAAGCAAACACAACCGAACCCATTTTGCAATTCTAATTGTTAGGAGTTATTTTTGTTTTAATAATGGTAGTCCAGTTGCTGTTATAAGAATAAAAGAATTTTAGATAAGATAGCGATTGTATGACAACTGTTGTAAGGTTGCTTTGTAATAAAATTCTAAGAATGGACAATTTTATTGTGCTGGGAAAATAAGACTTTGTAGGATGTATAATAGTGTAACTACAATTAACGTAAATATGAATAATATTGCACAAAAATATCTTTAATTATAGTTATGTACAAAAAACAACATAAGAAATTGTGAATATCTATATCTAGATAAGAAAATAAGATTTTCGAAAAAGATATATATATATATATATACGAATTAAGAAATTAAAGTTCAAGTATTTGGTGTAACTCTTTGGTGCACTTTATTTATGATATGCATAGCCCACGATATCCGAAGAATAAACTCTTATAGAACTATAATCATAAAAGAATGTTATTAAAACTGGTACAACTCCAACAAATGATGTTTTGTATATATATAACATGATATCAAACAACAAAAAATTGTTGAATAGCAGATATAAACTGAATTTTACATGATCTAGACTTAAAGTAAATATAACTATTGTTATTATTTCTATATCATGTTATCATCTTACTTGTTACTAGTTTGATGTGTACTGCGTGAATAAAAGAGTTCATGAGTTCAGTAGCAGAGCTAAGAAGTACTGATAGGTGCTTCCCTACTAGACTCTGAAGTAGTACCACTCAATATCTAAACAGAAAAACCTTATATAAAAGCAAATTAGCGAACTATTTATAACAGAAATTTAAAAAATATAATAATGAAAAATAAGATTGTTTAAGTGATATGAATAAAATTAAATCTTTTTATTTAAAATGAAAGTGTAATAATTTATTTTTAATATAAGTCCTACTATATTATATAACATTTTATAAGTCGTTTTCTCTTTACACAGTGTAAAAAGGTTTACTTCGAATAAAGAAGAAAACTAAGAATAACATACAAACTTTTAAATTAAATCAGGAAGAGATTCTTAATGCTTTTTTCTTGTCAATAATATCAATTATAAGCTATTTATTATAAATAAAATTATTATTGTTAAGAATTAATATCTAAAAACTTTAATATAATAGTGAACTACTTTAAATTGCATGAAACCGCAAGAAATTATATTTGCAATAAGAATGTATTTAGTACTCGCTTTTTAATAGTTTTTTTGTTTTGTAAACTTGTGATGAAATAAAAAGAATAATAACAATAATAATATAAAAACTAAAAAAAACAAAATCAAAAAAATTTCAAATACTTACCAATGTACAATTTCAACCAATTCATATACACACTTGGCTCCTACATGACGCAGACGCCAGACACTCGAATCTCAAGATGATGATGATCCCAAGATCACAGCTTCAAGAAGCCCTTTCACAAAAATCTTGAATGTAAGATATAATAAAAAGTTGCATTAACAATAAAAAGAAAGATGCAACAAAAAACAAAAAGACACAAGTAAATATTTAGAGAC